GTGCAGAAATGGGACATGAACTGAGCAGCTGTGTCACCTGGCCAAAGACACACAGCAGGGCTCCTTGGGGACAGGCAGAGCAGCCCAGAGCCAAAGACTCAGGCCCAGGGACGGGAGCCTGAGGGCAGACGCAGCACAGGCCTGCGGTGACACAGGAGAAAGGAGGGGCTCAGATGGCCAAGTGGACTGCGGGACAGGTGCTGGGCCTCCCTCTGAACACTCTGGCCTCAAAGATGGGGACAGGAGTGAAAGATGCCGAGAGGCAGCCGGAGACCTAGGGAGGGACGGAGCCAGCCAGAGACACAGGAACCAGGGCCCAGAGAAGCACCACAGAGAACATGGCCAGACCGTGGGCAGGCTCCCCAGGACTACAGGGGCTCGGGCCACACGGGGCGCACAGGGCACTGCAGCCACCCGCGGCGACAGTTCTAGTGCTGACCGAGCTGCTGGCCCAGTGCCCGGCATCGTCCTCCAGCAAAGAATGCCCTTGGCCCCAGAGGTGCTGGGAGGTCACACTGGGTCAGCCCTCCCTGCTGCTCTCTGAAGGTGGGCCAGGTGGACAGACAGGAGGCCAGGAGGGGAGGAGGGTCTCCTCCCTAGAGACGCCCCCCCAACTCCTCTCCCTGTCCCTGTCCCCCCCCACCACACACACACACACACACATGCCCACTGAGGCCTGTCCTCCAGTTCCCCTTCTGAAGTCCCTGGAGGGCGTTCGCAGGCCGCGTGGGCTCACCAGAAGGGAAGAGGGGAAGAAAATCAATAGAGCTGATCAGAAGCTGCATTTAACCCTCGCTGTCGCTCTAGGTACCACGGCAACTGGGAAGTGGACAAGACAGGGGACCACTTCCCACTGGAGACAGAGGTCATGTGACAGGAGCCCAGAGGGCAGGAGACTAAGCCTGAGAGGAAGCCCACCCCCACCCCGGCCAGGGCAGGTCTGTGGGTTGGTCCAAGGCCAGAGGAGGAAGGAAGAGCCGTGACCTGCCACACACACCATCGCGCAGCACGGTGCCAAACACGCCCCGGTGCCCCAGTGACAGTGACCCCGCCACACTCCCAGGCGCACCAAGACCCCGTATCCACTTGCTCAGATGCATACTGAGCACCTCAGCGACAGGCTCGGGACACAGGGTCTGCAGGACCAAACGGAAGCACCCACCAGACCAAGAGCCAAATACTTAAGAGCCAAGGGGCCTTCGGGCAGCCATCGCACCAGGAGGAAAACCACCGTGAAGGGAGCGCAGTTATGAGAACTCTGGGGACAGTGTCCTCAAGCCAGAGGGACATGGCTCGAGGAGCCAGGGGCAAGGCATGGGGGCCCAGCGGTGATGGGGGCAGCCTCAGGGGCTGGGCCTGCGCAGGCCTTCGGGAAGACTCAAGAGCCTTTAGTCTAAGTGACAAGAGTGCCCCTGCACCAGGGCGGGAGTGACGTTTGGACTGGGGGGTGGAGGATGGCCTGGGGGTTGGACTCAGAGCCGGGGTCCCTGCAGCCCCAGCCACACCAGTCATTCCACACCTAGCCCTCCAGCAAGTACCAGCAAAGGGACACAGGGACAGGAGGGCCCCCCGACCAGTTCAGCAAAAAGCCCCACAAGATGCCCCACACCTGAGCCCCCCTTCCTGCTCTGCCCTGAGACCTGCCCTCAGAACCACGTGACGAGGCCTCATCCACCTGCACCCCACACACCAGAGCCTCCCAGACGGGAGAGGAAGCCCCCTTCCCGCCGGGGCCCTTTGGAATTCTCAGGAACCCATTCCCGGGGGGAACCCTCCTCCCCAACTGCCCGTGCGTCCAGGTGGTTACTAGGTCTCCCTTAGTCCTCGCCTAGCCTGCAGGCCAGAGGCTCGCTCTCATTTCAGTGACCCCCATTCTGTGGAAGAGACAACTGGACCAGGGAGGCCAACTGGGCCCATGGTCTACACCGCCTGAGTGGAGGAGCCCAGGTTCAAATGCCCTCGGACCGCGAGCCCGCGCAACCCGGGCATCCCGCCCTCGGCCAGCACTCCTGGCCCTGCTGGTCTGCTCGGAGCTGCTCTGGGCACTCTTGGCCGGGAGGCTGGCTGACCGCAGAATGGGGTTTTCAAACTTTTTTATTTATCCTCAAATAGAGAAGTCCTTTGTGCAAGGGAAATTAGGCAGGAGTGACCAATCCTGAGGCCTGCAAGACCAGGTGGGCCTCCACAGTCCCCTCCATGGCAGGGGCTCTGACCACACCCTGCGGGGGGCCCTGGGCCTCCCTGCTAAGAGTCCAGCCCCACCACTCGGCCGCCCACTTCCCACAGCTGGACATCCTAGGCTCAGCCCGTCCACCTCAGAAACAGGTAGAACAGGGACCACTGATCCCCATTTGGCAGAGGAAGAAACCCAGTCCAGAGCCAGAGACTCTTGCCCAGTAATGGTCATGCAACAGGAACCAGGTGTCCTGCTGTTTTCAAGGCAATGCCCTCCTGCAGGACAGAGGTGACCAGGACCAAGGGCAAGAAGGCCCCTGCCTGCCAGCACACTCCTCCTCGGCTGCCAGCCCTCTGGCCAGCTGTGTCCCCTCCAGAGCAAAGCTACGAAAGCACCCTGTACCTGGAACAGGCCACCCCCGGCCACCAGAGTGCTGGGAAAGCTTCAGGGGACCACAGGAGAGCCTCTTGCAGAACACCAAGGGCCCTAGTGTGGCAGCTGCAGAGCTCCCAGAGGACCACTGCAGCTGCAAAGCCCTGAATGAGTTGGGCAGGGGGACCGGCGCCTGTCGTGCAGGCAAGGCCCGGGGTGCCGGCTTCTCGGCCTGAGCCCCTGGTGTCTGTGAGGACTCCTGACCCTAGGCGTTCAGAGGGACTCCGTCTGGACTTGGCGTGGGCTGGAATTCCCAGCAGCATGTTAGACAGTGCTGCGATGCTGGCTCAGTGGGCGTCACAGTCCCCAGCTGCGCCCCGTCCTGAGAAGAGGGAGCAGGTTCCAGAACAGCGCTGGGCCCCAGGCCACCCCTCCCCCAGGCAAGGCGGGGGGCCCCTACTGCAGCCCCACAGAGCAGCCCAGCCTCCTGCCCAGGCCACATAAATCACCCTTCCAATAATATTTGTATTGATCATCTAGATTGGAAACCCCGGTTGGTCCATTGTCTCACTTCCTTTCCCAGGGCTCACAGATGGGGTCCCTCGGCCTCATCTGCGTTTCTAATGGGACTTTTAAGTGGAACAGCAGCAGCCTGCAAGGCCCCTGTCGCCCTGGGTGTTGGGGGCCTGGAGGATCCATAAATATAGTCCTTAAGCGACAAGGACTAAGTTCAAGAGTCTGCAGCGGGAGAAGAGTGTCCAAGATGCGCTGGTTCCTCGAAACTCAGAGATGGGCTCCACGGCCCCACCTGAGTGCACACGAGGAAGGCAGGAGCCCAGGCCCACTGCAGACCCCCACGGGGGACACGGGCATTTGTCAGGACCCGAGGTGATTCACAGGCTTGTTAACATTAAAGAAGCGCCACTCTAGGCCCAGCCTCCTAGTGTACAGAACAGAAAAGGCCCAGAAAAGGCCAAGAGCTTGTCCGAGGTCACACAGCAGGCAAGGCTGCCTGAGCTCCCAGTCAGGCAAAGGAAGTGGGGGGACAGGTGGCTTCAGAGTGACAGGCCAGTAACTTCTGGGCTCCTCTCCCTCCCCAGCTCCTACATCCTTTTCCAGGGTGGGGACAGATGGTTCAGGCCAGAGTCTGGCCCCCTGTACTCTTCCAGGCTGGCGGGGCCAGCAGGAGCTCCAGGGGCTCCCCGGGAGGGTACCTCCTCCTGCCTGGCCAGCCAGCTGCCCCTTCCTGGCAGCAACTGGACAGAAGATCCCAGGGAAAACCACCACCTGGGTCTGCCCAGCAAAGCCAGGCATCTGCAGAGGGGCCCAGAGAGGCGGCCATCAGAGGGCCCAGGAGACGGGGGGGGCAGAGAAGCTGTGGACAGAGGGAGGGACAGAGATGGACAGAAACAAAGAGGAGAAGGGGCCAGAACCAGGCCAGGAGAGGGGAAAGGGGGGCCGGGAGCCAGTGAGGAGTGGGGGGCCGAGAGCAGGCAGCTGGCCCCAGCAGCAAGAGCCCAGCGGCGGCCCTGCCCAGCCTGGCCCAGCCCAGCCCCCAGTGCCGCCGCAGCTGCCACACTAAGGCCCTACCACGGGGTCAGGCCTGCCCTGGGGCTTGGGGAAAATAAATGGTGTCCAAGATAAAGGGTCCAAGAAATTATTTGTCTTATTGTCATGTCCTGACCGCAATGGGCAGGGTTGCTGGGCTGAGACGGGGAGGGGGGCACCATTCCAGAAAGGCCAGAGTGGCAGGCCAGCAGCACTGGAGGACCCTGCCCCAGCCACCTGCCTCGGCCACCCACGGCCCGGCTCCTGTGGGCCGGGATGCCTCCCAGGACCCAGGCAGGAACCCATGGGGCAGTGCTTTCCAAGAGGGCAAGAACCAGGAGGCGAGGCCCAGCCTGGTGACTTTGGATAAATGACCTGCGCGCCAAGTATACCTTCAGCGACTGTCCCCGATGCACCCCTCAGGGCGGCTGAGGTCTTGTGGGTGCAGCTTCAGCATGGGGGCTTGGCTGAGGGCGCCCAAACTCCCCAGAGGAGGACCAGGCCCTCCCAGGGTCAAGGGCAGGTCAGGGAGACCACATCCACAAACTCAAGCTGGAAAGCCGCGTGCACCAGAGCCGCCCAGGCACTGCGCATGCGCCAGACTGGTCCCCCACCCACCCCCAACGAAGCGCATCCAGAGCGATCTGGAGGCCGGAGGCCAGAGGCCTGTGCCTGGGGCTGAGCAGGGCACACAAGGCGGCCACCTGCTGCAGGACCTGCAGGGCCACCGGTGCCCCCAACCACCGCCGCTCTCCGGGGTGCTCCCAGCCACAGCACCTCTGGTCCCACATTCAGCTAGGACCGCGGATCCTGGGGTCGCCACACCAGGGGACCAAGGCCCAGGGGCTCAGCGCTCAGGGCGAGACCCAGGACGAGGCCTCCGGGGGTGGCGGCGGGCACCTACCATACTTGTCGCCGTCCTCGCCGCGCGCGCTGATCCTGCGGCCCAGCACCTGGATGTGCTTGCCGCTCGTCCTGCTGTAGAGCTGGTACAGCCGCAGCTGCTTACGGCTCACGTCGTCCCGGGCCCGCGTCTGGTTCTCCACGTGGATGCGGAAGTCCACGTTCTCCTCGGCCACCAGCACCTGCGGAGGACGGGGACAGGGTGAAGGCCATGGCCACCCTGCTCCACAGAGCTGCCTGCCCAGGTGGCCCAGCCAAGAAAGCAGCCGAGAACCAGCCTCGGTGGATGGTGGATGCACCCCAAGTTGCTGGACGCTGCCCCACAGCCCTACAGGGAAGCGGGAAGCCCTGTTCGCCCTGTGGCCAGCTCCTCCTCAGAACAGTGGCACCAGCGCCTCACCCCAGGACATGGCAGGATGCCGTGAGGACACGGAGAGCCAACCGGAAGAAAAAGACATCATCCACTGGAGGGGGGAGAGGGGCACGGGCAGAGAGCCACTGGGGGAGGCCTGGCAAGTCTCCATCTGGGAACAGATGGGCCAGAGGCCACCGCCAGGCCGAGGCTCCTCACCACCCCTGTGGCCCTCCCACTAACTCACATCCCAAACTCAGGCCCTTCTTGGAGAACCCTCCGATTCATATCACCCATCAAAGTTCCCTTTATCACCTGGGGCTTAGCTCGGATCTGCCCACCTCCTCCAAGAAACCTTCTCTGGTTGCACCAACACCCAACTCTCCAATCTCCCATCCCAGACATGGCCTCTCATCAGGGTAATGGGCACCTACTTCTTCATGGCCTCTTGCTAATCTGGTCCACTCCAGCCACCTGCTAATCCATCCTGCACCAAACCTGGTCCCTGTAGACCCCTCCCTGGCACACTCCCCATGCCTTGCCATCTTCTACTGCTCCCTTCCTACCAGCTACCCTGGCTCCTGCCTCAGGGCCTTTGCACTTGCTCTTCCCTCTGTTCCCCTGGTTTCTCCCTGCCCTCTCCACTCCAGGTCCTTACTTCACCTGCATCTCTGCTCAAACAGGCCTTTCTGGACCGTCCTTCTGAGGCGGCCTCCAACTCAGCCCTGACCCCTGATGTTCTGTGTTCCTCTGTAGCACTTATCAACCTGACATACCATCTCCCAGTCTGGTTTTTGTCTATCTGCTCCCAACGGACTGGGGATATCATGAAAGCTAAAGCTATCTAGCTGTGTCCTCCTTGTGCACTGCTTCTCCCCAGCACCAAGGGCAGTAGACACCCACACCCGGTGGATGGATGGGTGGGTGGACAGGTGAATGCTGACAAGACTCAGAGTCCTGCCGTGCCACTTATCATGACATTAAGTTTTCCCATGACCCATCCCACCTTAACCATAAAGCTGAGCAGGTCCTGAAGCCTGGCCGGCAGGCAGTCCCATATCTAGCAGAACGCGAGACACAGGGGACCCTGTTCCCGGGATGCCCCACCCATGCCGCAGCTCTAGCTAGACCTGCCTGCAGCTGACACCCACCCTGATGCTCAGGGACAGCAAGCTCCAGAGGCCCCTCCTATGGGCACGTGTCCCAAGACACCTCCATGCATGGACTTCAATCCTCCTGGAATGACTTCCGGAGTGGCCTGGCCCTGTCCCCTCCCCCAAGGGTAGGCGCCAGCATCCCCCGCCGGCCGACCCCCACTCACAGGAGGCCCTATCGACCAGAGGTCAAACCAATCTCCTCACCCCGGGCCCCCAAGGGGCACTCCCTGCCCCAGAAGCTGGCCTCCCATTAACGATTTTCTCCCTGGCCCGCTGGACAGAGGCAGCGTGGGTGACCCAGGGTCAGCAGAGGCTGGAGGATGACCCTTCCACAGGATGTGGGGTGAACAATCCATCTTGCCTAGCTTCCGTGATTTAAGCCACACCCTGAGGCCTGATCAGTCCCAGGGTAGAGAGTGGGGGTGGCCTCTCCAGGCCCTGGGCAAGGCCTCTGGTGGGCTCAGGGCTGCCAGTGTCCTTCAGCCTGGCTGTCACCTGCCCCAGGCACCTGCCTGGCCCCCACCTCCAAGGCTGGGAGGGTCTCCGCACATGCAGCTGTCCCCGAGTCAAGCTCACCGGGTCATCCCTAGGTCTCCGCTCCACCTCCAGCAGGCCATCAGCAAATGCTTGCCAATGTGGCCCAAAATGAGGGACCCCTGGAGGTCAGTAATGACCCCACTTCTTACCGCCCAAGCAAGCAGATCCCACAGGGGGATGGCAGGGGGAGTTCTTTTTCTTCCCTTTATTTTATTTATTTGTTTGTTTATTTATTTTGGTGCCAGGGGTTGAACACAGGGGTACTTACCCACTGAGCCACACCCCCAGCCCTTTTTATTTTATTATTGTGTGTGTGTGTGTGATGCAAGGCAAGCACTCTATCAACCGAGCTCTATCCCCAGCCCCTTACTTTTTCTTTTGAGACAGGGTTTCACTAAGTTTCTTAGGGCCTTGTTAAGTGCTGAGCCTGGCCTCGAACTTGGGATCCTCCTGCCTCAGCCTCCTGAGCCACTGGGATTGCAAGGGCTGTTTTCAGCTGTGGAGAGCCCTGCTGTCCTCTGCTCCAGGTACTCTGCTGAGAGTGGATATGCTTTTCTTCTACCTGCCCTGACCACCCCAGCAGCTGAGTCCTCTTCACAGATGGGTCCTCAGGCCTCTGCCCAGAGCCATAGGGCTAGGTGGGTGAGCAGAGGCCCAGGCTCTGCCTCCAGAGCACAGGCATGCAGGGCTGCCCGGCCCCAATGGCCCCTTTCCCTGTCCACTAGTTGGGTGAAAGGTCACTTGGCCTCAGTGCCTGAGCGGGAACCCAGTCAGGGCCTTCCAAGGACAGTCAGAGCTGCCGTCTGTCCACTCGCACCCTTCAGGGCAGAGTCACCAGAAGGGCCCTGAAAAGCTGCAGGACAAACACAGTCCCAGCCCCGTAGCTCCTTCAAAGTGGACGGAAGGGCCTCGCGGCCCATCTCGCCCCCACCTCGCCCCCCTCCACACATGGATCGTGTTTTGGGAGGAAGAAGCTTTTCCCACCGGGGTGGGGGGTGACCTAGAGTCCCCTGGCAGCCTAAGACCCCAACTTCACCCCCTGCCCTTTCCCTGGTCTGAGGTTTCAATGGGGGGGGGAATGTTCCCTCCCCAGCCCAGGAACTGCACAGAGGCAATGGGGCCAGGCCTGCCAAAACCCCGGGGACCCAGCCCACCTGGCCGCAGTCGCATGCTCGTCTCACGGGGCCCAGAGCACGCAGGAAGACAGTGTCCCTGCCCGAGCCCTGCCCTGGCTCCCGACTCCTGCAGGACAACGTCCAGGTGGCCTTAAAATCCAGCTCTGCTCTAGGCAGGCTGTGGGCCCCTCTGAGGTACAAGAGATCTGGCCATCTTGTGGGGATTGCTATGGTGTCCATCCCACTGCGGCATCCGACGCCACCAGAGCTCCCTCTGGCCTGAAGCCTTCATTCTCCGCTCTGAAAAGCACACTCGTGGCTTCTTCCTACGTCTTCCCAGGCCACGTTGCCACCGGCCACTAGCCTGTGCCCCGTCACACACACTGCACAATCACACTCCACACCAGGTATGGGGCCAGCCCCGGGGCTGCCCAGGTCCACCCCAGTCTCCTTAACCCTCAGTTTCCCATCCGCAAAATAGAGTTTGTTTGTAATATTTACCTCAGAGAAAGATGGTGTAAGTGAACAGCAACCACATTTCTCTCTCTTTTAAATGGCCGTGACATGCAGAGCTGTGACTGAATCACCCTACAATCACCCCAGCAGCCCCAGGAGGTGGCTTGCTTACTATCCTCGTTGAACAGATGGAGACTATGAGACTCCAGGAAGTTATATCGCTTGTCCTAAGTCATAGAACTAGTGAGGGGACCACCTTCCCCTCTGTCCACCACTTTGACTCACCTGCGGCCACCCTCCCTCAGGCGCTTCACGCCCCACCTCCACTGCCACGTCAGTGCTCCCTGCTTCTCCTGGATTCCACTGTCCGTAGCTACCCTTATAAACCAAGGACCAAAAATATTAAATGGGAAATTCCAGAAATAAGCTATTCGTAAGTTTTACATTTGGTAGCATTTTGAGTAGCCTGACAAAACCTCGTGCCGCACCCATATTCAGCGTATCCACACTATATACACTACCCACCAGGTAGCCATCCACAGCTGCCTCAGCTATCAGGGCAACTGATCCAGCATATCCACACTATATACACTACCCACCAGGTAGCCATCCACAGCTGCCTCAGCCATCAGGGCAACTGTCTCGGGACAACAATGCTTGTTTGGTACTGTCCTCCACCTGGGGCATCCACTGGGGATCTTAGGACATATTCTCAAGGATAAGGGAGGAATGACGGCATTCCAGGACAGTGGCTGGCTCAGAACACAAGCCATGGTTGAGGGGTGAGGGATATTGTCTGTGAAACGGCCGAAGACCATGAACTATGGGGTCCCACTGCTGTCCCCCACTCCAGCTCCCAATTGTTGAGGTCTCTGGGCAGCCTGTCCAGAAGGGGTGGTCTCCCTGGCCCCAGGTAGGCAGCCACAGACTTCTGGCCCCGTTCCCCCAGCAGCAGAAGGTCAGTCTCCCCAGGACTTCCAGAGCATCTCCAAATTTTGGATTCAAACCTGGTTCCTGGTAAGGTTGGCCCCCTCTCTACTCCCAAAGGCAGCTCCCCACACTCTTCCTTGAGAGCAGCCTGGACTCTGGCCAGGTGCCGCTCGCTGCCAGCCATGGCACCCTCCCGATCACTGTTGTTGAGAGCGACTCTCACGTTGGCTCCTACTTCTTGGGCATTTGCTCTATGCCAGGGCCCAGGATGCCCATTTGCCCAGCACTGTCCTTACTGCCCATGTGACCAGAGCAGGTCACAATGATGACTGTCCCTGTGCTGTAGGCAATCCAGGGAGACACAGAGAGGCCAAAGGACCAGTCAAAGCAGTAGAGAAAGCGGCTGAGCCAAGATCTGAGTCCCTGTCTGCTCTGCAGCCCACAGGGTCCCCGCAGCAGGCACTCCTGTGTAGGACGCAGAGGGGGGACCGCCACCCTTGGGCCTAGCTGAACTCAGATGGGCAGCCCTACCCTCAGCTCAAGTGTCCGGCTTCCCTCTTGTCACGCTCCCCATGCCCAAACCAGCCTGGAGAGCAAGGAGGGCCGCAAAGGGCCCTCCCCACCCCCAGCCTGTC